TTTTAATTTTTGATAATGTTAGATTAATATGCAATAAAAATTAAAATTTTAAAAAAAAATGCTCAGAATCCCATTTTCCTAGCAAACCTCCCATATTTTCTTTTATTCTTTTTATTTTTTTTTTTCATTTATTTTAAATATTAAAATTTTATAAAAATAAATATACAAGAAAAAAGAAAAGCTAATAATTATTCTCAGAAGGAAGTATGAAGATGCTTTTAATAAAAATCTTTTAAATTTTCTATTATTAGTTTAATTAGACTTATAATAATCCAAATAAATTAGAAGTATATTTAATAAATGATTGCAAAAAAGTTCTATAATATGTTAGCTGATTTTATATGAATTTAGTTTTTTTATAGTATTTTGGAATTAAAGATAATTTTATATCTTTATCAAAAAATAATAAAAAAAAGAAAATATCAAAATCAAAAGTTAATCAAGATATAACAGATTGGTTTGAAAATGAAACCAGATCTCTTACAAGTAAATTGTTTAGAGGTAGATGTTAAATCAAGAATATGCAAGAATTAATAAGAATATTGATAAAATTATTTTAAAAATCAGAAAATTTAACACGGTAAATTTTTTTTATTAAATTTAAATTATATATCTTTAAATATATTTTTATTATTATTAAAAGCACTTGATAGGGAGACCACAAATAAATTAAAGTTCAGATTTGTGAATTCAAGGCTAGCTTTTTTCATCATACCCTTATTTCCCATTGGTCATGATTAACTTTTTATTTAAAAACATGAATCGATCTTTTTTTTTTGTGATATGCAAGTTTCTTCTATAATTGTACAAATCTCCTTGCACAGGTTCGTATAATCTATTCTGTTAGCACGGAACCAAGATTTGTTAATTGATTATCTGTTGTATTTAGATATTTTGGTTACAATAGCTTTCTATATTGCTCCATGAAACTTTGATTAAAATAAAAAATATAAGGAACGGCATAATCCTTTTATTGTTTAGTATCAGTAGTACAAGTTTATTACTGGATTCAAGTTGCGCCATACGGTAGTTCAAACAATTAATCGTCTTTTACAAATCATCATCTTGCTTTCGTTGTTTGTAACAATAGCACATTTTGTACATACATAAAGTTACGCGTTTGTTTTTTTCAAAAGAATTTTCTATAAACTAACTATGAAGGAAACGAAGTTTACTTGTGTTCGAGCTGATAATCTTAATGGACAATAAACTAATTTGAAATTTTTTAATTTTTGTGCTTAAAATCTTACTTAAAATTGTTTGGTTCGTTTCTTGTTAAACCTGAATTCATTTAATGTTTACCTTATCTTACCAAAAATTTTATTCCATCTATGTATGTCATTTGTACGTCTTTTTAGCCTTTTTTTTTTGATTAAAAACTCTCACACGAGCAAAAAAAGCATTACATTTTCACATTAAATTGGCATAAAAAATTTTTTGAAAAATTCACGATAGTTGATGGATCAAACAATTGGTAATAATAACATGGGTCAACATAAATCAAAAAATAAAAATAATAATAACAATAATATGCAACAAGAGCCTAAACCTGGAATATTCCGTGTCGAAGAGGGCAGAAGATTTCATAATGATGTAAACGTAAAATATCTTTTACCAAATGACGATGAAGAACTTGATCGGTTACATTTGCAACATTATATGATGAGATATATATGGAATAGCAATTATAACGCTCCCGTAGATGATTTGTTACAAAAAGAGGATGCCAAGGTTCTTGATTTAGGGTATTATATTATTTTAACATCATCTTTACTATAACTTAAAGTTATCAAACTAATAAATCCCTTACTCCTACGGCGTATGTCAGTTGTGGCGCTGGATCTTGGCTCTTTGAGTTGGCTACGGAATTTCCTTCTGTATCTTTCACTGGAATGGATATCTCACCCGTAATCCCGTCAACAATAAAACCTCGTAATATTAGTTTTGTGAGAGGAAATGTTTTGGAAGGACTACCATTCGATGATAATACGTTTGATTTTGTTCATCAACGATTCTTAGTTGCTGCAATTCCTCTTAATGATTGGCAAAATTTAGTAAATGAACTTGTGAGAGTTTTGAAGCCTGGAGGATATTTGGAGGTATTCAAAAATATGATAATTTTCTTTGTTAAGGCCTCCGAATCTAACACATTAGTTGTTTTAGCTTATGGAAATGGATGTAGAATTTAAACCACTTGGTCCAAGCGCGAAACTACTAGACGATGCTTGTAATTAAGATTTGTTGAAATTATATCAATTACTTCAATTAATTAAAAACAAATATTTGATTTTTTTTTTTTTATCAATAAAAATTCTTTAGTTATTAAAGTGATGATAGAAAACGGACAAGACCCACATATAATTACAAAATTACGATCATTCATGGAAACAAACGGACAACTTGAAGACATTGTAAGAGAGGAAAAATTCGGTCCTTATGACAAAAGTGCAGGTCGACTTAGTCAACTCGTAAGTATAATTTTATTTATTGTTAGAGTAACAACTATCATTAATATAATGTTTTTACTTATAAGGCTATTGAGAATCACAAGCTTGGGTTTACTGCTTTGAAAGCCACATTAATTAAGGTTCTGAATATCTCTTCAGAAGAATATGATGAGCTGATTCAAGCTATGACAATAGAATTGTCCGAATATAAAACCTTTAATCACACAGTTCGCATTTATGGTCGCAAAACTATTTAAATAGTCTAAATTAATATAGGGAAATTTAATTTTATTTCATTTCAGACTATGAATATAATGAGAAATTATGACATCAAGTTTTTTTAAGATCAAAACTTCTTTTTTTTTTAATATACATCCGACCCACATTGCACAACATTTATTATTCAATTTGTTTAGTTGTATTTTCATCAGAATATTTGATATCTCGTAATATCTTATTCGACAAAAAAGGCTCGTATGATTTCCGGAAATGATCGGGATTAAAAGTAATTTCCCGAGAATAGATAATCAACCTTTCGTACAACACAAACTCGATAGGTTCGAGATTTTTTTTTTTTTCGAACTTATTTGTTTTGTTTTCGACAAACTAATTGGTATATTACGGTATTAACCAATGAAATAATAAAACAAGAATGTTTTCAAAGTTTTTTTCGAACTTTTGATGATATTTTGGAATACACATTATATTACGTTAGGTTATAAATATTTAGGTGCTGAATTTTTTTTAATTCTGACTTTGAATTTCAAAGTCGAGAGTTATGGAAATGCAATGTTTGCGTTTTACGGAATCTTTGAATATTTACAAAATAAATTAATTATATCTCCGAAAAAATACAAAACAGTAGTATGACATTAAAAACAATCCGACTTTTCGAAGTAACAACGATAGAGTACATTGTTCAACAAACAAAAATATTGAGAATTCCCCAAAAGATTTTTTTTTTTGTACGTTATTGTATTTATACAGGGTTTTGTCAATAGAAATGCACTATACGAAGCTCCTGGTCACGGTGATACAGTTTTTGGGAAATTAAAGTTAGATCTAAAAAAAGCATCGAGTTTATTTGTCATCTTTGTTATTTTAACAAAAAAAACATTGTGTTGCCTTAAATAAAAATAAGCAAATTCAATGATAGGTTAAGATTTAATAAATATTATTGCGAGTTTAAACAAAAAAGGAAAAACAAGTTAAGGAACCTGTTAAAAATTTTAGTAATATCTCAAAACGCAAAGGTTATTTATACGGTAATCCAAAAGTCAGCGAAGACAAGTAATTTTTTATAATAAATAAGATCGAGTATAATTAAAATAAATTATCATTGGTATCAAATTTGTGACAAATTTATTTATATAATAAAAATCTAAATAAAATTCATATATTATTGAACATATTTTGTTACAACTATCTTATATTAATTACTAAACTTAAAGTAATAATTAATGAAAAAAATGACCGGAAACAAAAAATTTCTTGAATTTATTTATGCCTTATGTTTAAATTGGCATAACTAAATGAATTATATACTAATAATATATTTTTTAATAGCTTAAAATATGTAGTATATTATTATTTTTTCAAATTTTATAAATCACTCAATATTAATGGTTTTACTTAGTAGCTAAAAGATTTTAATTTTTTTAATTTTATGATCGCAAATTGTAAATGCTATCGCATTCGTTATGTAGAGATCGTAAGAATAAACTATTTTATAATGATTTGTAGCCTGAAAGATATTCTACGACATTACTTATTTTAAAAAGTTGTAGTCTATATTAAATTCAGAACTTTACTTAGACAGTACTATAAAATTTGAAGCTTAATTTTGCTTAAATATTATTGATAATAAGTTTATACTATCTTAAGCCAATTTGTAGTTACTGTATCTACAATTTTACTTATAACGAAATATTATAGTATCTTAAAACAATTAGGACTTTACTTAGACTATATTGAAAATTTTAAACTTAATAAAATTAGAAAAAAATATAAAATATTCATTATATATGATGCTGAATTATTTGATGAGTATCGATTATAGATATTGATTAACTTATATAAATTTGTAGCTAGAGACATTATCTATAACATTTATTAAGTTTATAGATTAGATTTTCTATCAATAATAAAATTTATTTAGACACGACTATAAATATTCAATTATTATAAAATATAAATTAAATATATATTATAATAATACATCTAGCACTGCCTAAAGTACTCATGTCTTTTACAATTTATCTGATTTAAAAATTGAATAATACCTATAGGTACTTTGTGACATACTGGGTACATTTAATGGTAGGATATTATAAATTAGGGGTATTATATTACAAAGATATTTTGTAACAGGAATACAAATATTATATATAAAATACAATTGAATCTCACTATAACAAATCTTCATTTTTGAAGCTCACAATTCGTTATAATGAGAAAATTCAGTAATGTCTTATCAAATTTAAACAATTTATTCATTATATAGTAATACCAAATATCATATGGAAACGTTTCCAGTAAAATTAAATCATGAGGCATAGTAAATCATATGATATATAATGTAATTTTACTTGAAACACTTTCATATCCAAATTCGATATATAATAATAAGTTTGGAAAGGTCGCATTTAACTTACCGACAATCATTTTACTGACAATCATTTAACTGACAATCATTTGGCCGACAGGTATATTTTACCGACACTTATATTACTGACGATCATTTTACCAACAAGTACATTTTACCGACAATCAAATTACTGACTTATTATTTTTTTTCTAATGGAAAATTCATATGACAATTGTCAATTAAGAAAATTCAAATTCACATACACTATTTGATAATCAGATGATAATTACAATATGAAATACTATTTATGATAAAATACAATGCAAAATATTACTTAATATAGAAAAGTTTTTATTTAATGTATTTGAAATATTACATTCTAATTAAAGTTAAAATTATTTTATGTATTATTACATACACAATCAATAAACAATTTTTTTCTTATCTTTTTCTTCAAAGTTTTCTAATAAATAATATTATTTGCGAACCTGTTTTTTCTACTCATAATAAAGTTAAACTTAATATTTATAGCTATCTTATAGTTAAAGATAAAAATAGAGGAAATTTATATTATTGGTATTATGAAAAATGAAACTTATTAAAATGCTATAGAAGAGCTACTACTAAATTAATTGAAGATCAGCATTATCTTCAAAAAACTTCAGATCATAACCATGCTGCTGATGCCAGTCGTGTTAATGTAATAAAAACTATTAATATATTAAAAGAAAAGTCACAACAAACTAATGAACAACCTGTACAAGTTATTCAAACTATTGTTGCAAGTAGTTCACATAAAATATATCTATACTTACCATCACATGATGCATTTCGTCAAACAGTTAAACGAGTTTGACATGTTAATATTCCTACAGTGCCAATATCTTTGGAAAATCTTACCATTCCTGAAAATATGCGAGTAACTTTAAATGGATTGGAGTTTTTAGTTAGAGATTCAACCATAGGTGATGGAAGAGTATTAATATTTACAACTGTTGCTAATATAATATATTTAGCACAATCACTATTCTGGATTATGGATGGTACTTTTAAGACAGTTCCAACAATTTTTAAACAACTATACACAATTCATGGACGTGTTGGTGGAGATGAAAATTCACAGATTATGCCACTGGTATTTGCATTAATGTCCCACAAATCTGAAATATACTATAGAACATTATTTCAGGATTTAATTGATTTTAGTGATGAGCATAATGTTGATTTACAACCACAGTTTGTTTTAACAGATTTTGAACAAGCTGCAATTAATGCTATCTGTGCAGAATTTCAAGGAGTGCAAAATAAAGTTGTCATTTTCATTTATCTCAAAATATATATCGCAAAGTACAGGCTTTTGGTCTCACTATTTAGTATGAAACTGATGAAAACTTTAGTTTATTAATTCGTCATATTTCAGCACTTGCATTTTTACCTTACAATAAAATTTCTACAGCTTTTAATGAATTGAAAACTAATATGCCAGCAAAAGCAAGCCAAATTTTAGATTGGTTTGATAATTATTATATTCATAGAAAAATTAGACGTACATTACGAAATGGAAATGTAATTCAGTCTGAACCATTATTTCCACCTTTACTTTGGTCTGTCACTGACAATATTAAATATTTATTTCCAAGAACTCAAAATAATGTGGAGGCTTGGCATAGAAGATGGGAAACATTAGTAGGTCGTGCTCATGTAGGTGTATTTAAAATTATAAAGGAACTACAAAATGAGCAAAAACAAGTGCAGCTTCATATAGAATCCATTTTGCGAGGAGCACCACGATTGTTACAAAGAAGACAAGATCGTGAACGTAAAGATCATATACAAACAGTGTATAATGATCACGAAAATAGAGAACTTATGGATTACCTTAGAGGGATTGCTCACAATCTTTCATTTTAGATTTGTGATTTTGTTAGAAGAATGATATTGTTTGTTGCAAAATATAAAATTTTCTTTTACAAACTACTGAATAAAATATATAAAATTTTTTGGTGAAATAACCATGTCGGTAAAATGATCATCAGTAATTCAAGTGTCGGTAAAATGTACCTATCGGTTAAATAATTGTCAACTAAATGATTGTCGGTTAATTAATTGTCGGTTAATTAAACCAGACCCATTTAGAATAATGTAAAGCAAATAAATTTAAATAATGAATAACTAATAAATTAAAATTACAAAGGTATGCTTGCTCTTAGCCAAATATAGATTAATATATAACTGTTGATCCTGAACACTATATAGAGGTAACAAGTTTTATTTAGATTTTTTTTAATAGAATTTGAAAAAAAGTTATAAAAAACTGAATAAAGAAAAATTAGTGAAGTTAATGAAATAAAAAAGAGAGACTAGTTAAAATTATTAAAATGAGAAAAGAAAAAAAGTTAACAATAGTTATAAAGGAAAGTAAAAAGTATATTATTAAGGGTTATTTTAGATTTCGAATAATGTAGGTTAATTTGGTAATTGAAAGAATTTGCTAAAAGAAAAGTTGATAATTCTAAAAATTCAAATTTAAATTTAACTTAAAATAATATAATATTAATATTAAGAGACAAATCATTACTTATCAGGATAAAATGATCAGCAATTAGTAATTAATTTTATAGCTTTACAATTAATAAAAAAATTGTTTTGGAAATTTTCTGTTTCTTACTGACAAACTTTTTTCATGAGTAAAACAAAATATACAATAACTCTTTTAGCTAAAGGAGAAATTTTATCAGACTTGTATTATAGCATACAGGCGTAAAATTGGTAAAAATCATATTCATACAGCTAAACTAGCATTAAAGCTAAGGTTTTGCAATTTGATTTGATATTCAAATATTTAATTTGAAAATCAAATTAAATACAAATTTAAATTAATAATTGATTTGTTTCGATCAAATTCAAATCAAAGAAAAATTTATTTGATCAAATATGAATTGATCTTTAATTTGATTCAATCAAATTCAAATTAAAAATTTTTATTTGATCAAATACAAATTAATCTTTAAATATTTGATTGATTTGCAAATTGTATACAAGCATTTTTCACTAATATTTTAATATGGTTGAAGCTAAAGATGGTTTCCATAATTATTTTTAAAATTTTTAACTAGTTGCAACTTAAGTTACAACACTTTGAGTTGCAACATTTTATGAATTTTTATATTAAAATAAATTTACAAGGAGTTGCAACCAAGTTGTAACTTCTTAATTATAGTGCTCATCTTTAGTTGAAACTTTCTATATCAAATTTTAATTTTTGGAGAATTTGATTCATTATAATGAGAAAATTCATTAAAATTATAATAAATTATTTATTATATTTATTATATGATTATTATTATATTTAAAATTAGTAAAAATTTTTATTTTATCAGAAATTATTTTTACCGTAGAGCACTGCCCTTTTTGATTGTATCCCCCTGATAATATACCCTGGTATTTTATTAGATGCAAAACGATGTTCTCAAGTTAAGACCCGGGTATCAATCAATTTTCAAATTGATCTATACCCGAATATTTTATCAATCATAAATAAATTAATTTACATATAATCTTAATATTAATTGTATAAAACAAATAATTTCATAATTTATAACTTTAGAAGATAAAAATGTTTTTGAATTAATTTATTTAATTAGCAAAAAATAATAAAAGCAATTGATTCTATTTTAAAATTGCAAAAAGTAATTATTATATAAATC